TTTTCTTCCTGGGAGCTCAACCTGGAGACAAAAATTTCCTGCAGACCAACGGAGTATTTTTGTGCTAAATCTGCATGCGCATAAACATATAGTGTTCTAGCTTGACCATGGTTTTAAATTCAAGGAATAAAAGTCTGTCAACCATATGTTGTTGCGCCCATAGTGGGACATGGGTGTTAAGGTTTCCTTCAAATCTTTAATAGCAAATCTTCATTGAAACGAATTCCCTGCAGCTGTTTAACATTTCCTCATTTTCCTGCGAGCAGTGCTTGCCTATTTTTTCCACCGCTGTTCAGAGCTTAGCCGCAAGATTGATCACGAGTCCACGACCTGAGTCCAGTTCTTATTTCGTGCCAAATATTCGCAACAACCCATAACGCGGCACAGTCGGGCAAACCGAGAGAGTGTCTCACCTTGCCCAGTCACGATCAGAAGCTCAGCACGTAAACATAACTTTGACTTTACAGCACTGTTTTTCAACGCTACTTCACAGGTATGTTGGAACGGTTGGAAATATTCAAAAATGATCGTTATATGCGCTAATCGATGCCGTTAATGCATGCACGCCCATAAAATTTGTATCGCTATTCTCATTCAAGTAACATGCATTAGAAAATAGTTCGGCTTATTAACGTACGCTTGGCTTACAACAAGGGGTTGTTTAGTCCAGCAATTTCTGCTTAGGGCATTGTATATATTGGAGTAAAAATGGTATGTTCGCATTTTGAATAATTTTGAAATGAACTTTTGAATTTTGTATGTCTTTTTGTGTGATAAAATCTCAAACTAATTTGTATGTTACCCAATGTCACATTAAGTTATGGCAATTAGGGGTTGCTCAGCTCGGTAACTCTTTAGGAAGGAGCTGTTATACTATATATAAAGTAAATCTATAGTATACTATATTCGCATTTTGCATGCAATGAAAAATTTTAAGCCGGTTTTCCACTGGCGAACTTTTCGCGCGAAAGTGACTGTTTTCCTTTGTCGGCATCAGTGCTGCCCGCTTTTCCTGATGCCGGCAAATTAAACAGTTTTTTGTGTGTTTTTTTTGTGCAATAAAATCTCAATTGTGTATATGGAAATAATATATATGTTAGTTTATAAGCCGCAGACTCGTTGTAATTTATTAGAAATCGCCATTCTCCAACAAAAGAACCCCCTTAACTTTCAGAACGTGAATTATTCAAACTGCTGAATCCATTGTTGGACAATGCTAGATGGCAATTTTGAATAATATTTTAAATTTGATCCAACGAACACCGCGGTGAAACGTCTGCGTATGGACTGCTTGTACTCAAAAGATTGGAAATATAGTACTTCCTCCACGAAGCTCTAGCAAAACGTGTGGAGAAGATTACGAGAGTGTGAACTCGCTATAATTCCCTCTTGTTACAAGGAAAAAGCGATGAAATTTCTGAGCTTATACCTTTCTGAGCTTATACAGTAAATGCTTTTCTTCTCCAGTACGTACTCCTATTATTTTGGCGGATAGTTTCCCGCCATTTTTGTGGACTCGCGTATGCGCTTGACGTTTGACCGCTGTGTTGATTCAATATCGTGCAAGCCATCAGTGTACAGGATAATGTTGGAGCAACCTGTTGGGCTGGGTTGAACGTGCCTTTTGTTTCATAGCACTTCTGGTTCTGCATAATGTGAGTCTACGTCGATCAGAGTTGACTATGGCTGTTGCATGGAAAGGTCTGCTCTTGTTGGGTAGCGTCGCTTGTGACTGTGCAGCAGACCTATGCGAGGTTACTGTCTGCAGTAGTTCTATCTATATATCTTGTCAGCTCTGTGTTGCAGCACTGTTTTCTGCGAGCTGTCTTGATCATGTCTTTACTGCAGCTATACCACTAGTATCTGTTCCTCTGTTTGAAGTTGTTGGTGCAGAGTGCTTCTCCACGCTTGTGCGGTCTGCTACAAGGCTCTCCAAGGACTGCGCGTCAATGACAAGGGCCTTCACATCTCTCTTGCAAACATATTTGTATCGCAGCTGGGACGGCCCGTCTTTAATCCTGCCAGCTCTCCACAGACGATTTTAAGAACAGGAGAGCTTCGCATTGATAGGGATACAACTACTTGGACTTCGACGTTTCAGGACGGATTATTGGCACCACCTACACTGGCTCAAGCCGTTCATGATTTTCGAAACAGATCGCCATCTTGAAAGCCTCCCTCGCCCATCCCCATTAGCAACAAGCTAGGAATTATCGTGTTTATACAAAGTTGACTCAAATCCAGGAGAATTACACGTAAAGCCCGATCATATACTACTTTTCATAATCATACGCCTTCACTCCCACGGTGTTCTTAGGTTTTCATTTTTTAGAAAATACTTAATTGGTCAAGTAGTAGATAAAGCATGAGCGGGCGGGTTGTCTCAGACATACAAACTTGATCCGAAGGCGAGAGGTTGTATGTCTGATACAACACGGACATGAATGCTTTATATAGCTTGTGAAACGTCTCGATGAGAACATTCGTATTCTTCAACAATTTAAAATAAATGAATGATATTTGGTGAGAAAATTGAACTTAAAGTTTATGTAAATCAGGATGATTTTGTATCACATATACACGCTCATGATTTCTTTTGTGTTTTTTTTCATGAATTATTAATGATGTCACAATGGTCGTTGATACCACCTAATACACTCGCATATAAAAATTTAAAAGCTTGGTTACCTTTATCATTACGAATGCGTACATTTAATATATACCAGAACATGCAGTGGCAACTAGGCATGCGCATGCGTGTGAGTTACCCGAAAATACGAAGAGGATCATGGCATCGTGTGTAAACATACCTTAGTATATAGCCGATTAGAAATCGATGGTAGGCGAAGTGTTTATTTAACAATTATTCACCGAAGGCGAGGTGATTATCGGTGAATAAAAACCGAGACGAAGTCGAGGTTCTTATTCACGCGATAATCACCGAGCCTGAGGTGAATAATTGTTTTAGTATAATTTCATAGGGGATTATTTGAAAAAAAAAAATTAAAATACACATTTCTTCGTCATTTAATTGACAAAACGGCTTCGGCCGCCATTTTGAAAATCGCTTAGGTGATTATCACGTTATTATCACCTCAACGGCAACCAATCGGCGTGGAGAATTTTCAATAATCACCTATGTAATTATACTAAAACTCCTTACTACTCTGCAAACGATTTCAAAGTTAAGCTGGTTCATAGATTGTAAAGTAGATAGTCTGATTATATCTAGTCAAAATGGAATTAACTAATGTAAGTGGGCGGCAGAAGCTAAACATATTCAATTCCAAGAAGGGACATTAGAGAATGAAAGTGATAACGGTTGCAGAAAACATAAAATAATTTATTATATAGTAGAGAGAGAAAGAGAGAGAGATACTGAAAAATACACAGTGAGATATTTTCCATATCGATCACGTGACTTTTTCCAATTTGCTTTTGAGCGTGAAATTCCACAACATATCATGCGAAGACATTATATAACAACCCGCGCAGGATGACGCAGAACGTTAGAAAGCATTAGACCAAATCTATCTCCTGCTGTAACATTTTGTTCTTCTCGTGATTAAGATTAATATTTCTTCAGCGCAAATTCTCATGTGGGTATATGATGAAATGCGCTTTACATTAAGTATGCCTATAGAGCATTCATAACTCGAGTATCTATACTCGTTCAAATACATCAGAAGAACAAAATCGCACTAGAAACCGCAACAAAAATTACAAGTTTTTGGAGTTATCGCTGTTTTGTTTAAGGCCCGCGTTTACCTCCAAAAATGAACCGATTTTACTATTCTCTAGCTTTCGACTATGTGTTAGTCGTCATCAGCTGATAGTAGTACATGTTTCAAAGTATTCCAGTCGAGCCAATCCACAGAACCGACCACAACTTGACCTTGTTCAGTGGTCACGCTATTGCAGTATTGGTTTCACTCCTACCGCGCTCAATTTAATTTATTTATTTTAAGACGTTGCTGAGACAGCATCAGCTATCATATTGTGCGAGCTCACCCATGTATAAAACCTCAGTCATAACATGGCACTGTTATTTCGAACAGACATATCCCCCTTGCTGGCTCATAAGAGGTTTTCAAGTTATGTCCTATAGCGAAGGGAACTCTATAAAGCCTCTGGTGCTCGGGGAAGACAAAATCATTTATTTAACATGGGAGGTATCCAATGTTGTGGATGGACCTATTACCTAATAAACAAAATTTTGATCTGGATAAAAATTTCATCACAAAGTTAGTAATATTCCGAAGTTTCGTTGCGAAATGTTGTAAAATGCGGATAATATAGCCCTGCGAAGTTTGCCGTTTTTCAGTCATTTTGTATTACGCACGGGAAATTGATATCTTTTTTCAGAAAGCGGTATCAATTTCCCGTTATAAGATGTTGTATTCACCCAGAGAGGGAGAGCAAATGGCGCATATTAACCTGGGGCCACAAAATATAGTGAAATATACAGAGATATTACTGTCAAATAGTCTCTCATGCAAAATGAAGGAATTTTCCATTCCTGGGCCCTATATGTTGATTTTTTTGTTCGTATCAAATGTGCGCGATCAATTTTCTTTGCGCGGTAAAAAATAATTTAATGATGATCATCGAACATATTCTTTGTTCAGCTTTAAATCTTGTTTTATTTTTAGCCACCACATTAATGATTTGAACAAACTTTATTTTTGCAAAGACGCGTATAAACATCTCTTTAAAAAAATCTCGTATCGCGCGCGCGAGTATTATTCTTTGAGAGTAGTACAGGCCCTCCCACGCAGTACCGCTTGAAAATATTTATATTTAGACGCGCGATTAATATGTTTTTAATTTTTCAGCTTTCCTGTGTGCAAAACGGGTTGTCGTATTCTTTCTCCGTGCCCATTAATATCTGTAATCTACTCGTTCCCAAATATAATCCCTGCCTACGGGAGCCCTCATAAAAATTCATGAGATCCTTAATATATTATTCTTTAGGGCACACACACAACACATTGAAATATATTAATTGTGTTTCATGATTTCCTAGGAACCTTCGCTTCGATTTTCCTCCAGAAAAATTGCGCCGTTTCAAGAGGCTCCGACTTAGGTTGTCACAGTTCCACATCGAAACAGCTATTGGTGAGTTAGGTAGGTGGATATGTATAATTGAAGTTTATTACGACTGGCATTTACAAAGAAAATAATATGTATTATAATTTTATGTTTTCATCGAATTGCAAATAGAACAAATACTGTATACATTCTAAATATAAATTCTCATTTTTCTTCAAAATGAAATTACTGTATTAAGAGTAGATCGAATTGAACTAAACGATAAATGTATATTACTGCTTTTGCACGTATTCTTTGGTCCTTGCTATGCGCTATTTATTTATTTCAAGAATCGGAAATAAAACTCAATACCACTGTGTCCATATCTCGGAGTGTATGCCATTCTATTTTGTCCTTCATAATTTACCAAATTAGGTGAAAAACCGAATTATATATATATGTTGTTGCATTTATATTTCGGTATTACTTCAATTGACGTATTTCATGTGATATATACTAATAGTATTTATATGTTGGCTGTTTCAATATATTTTCTCTCAGAAAAACAACAGTAAATTTAAGATCAAATAAATACTTGGATATAGGTATTAGATTTATTGGTATATGGCTTTATTTCAATACTAGCCACGCGTTTCCTCGTTTTCTTTTAGTATTTGGATATTTAAATGCTTCAATATAATGCCTTTCATATCTGCAGATGTTAGCGACGCTTCGCCAAAATCCTTCAATGATTTGAATAAATTGATATTAATTGTGACATTTAGTTTTGAGATGTGGAAAAGATTCAAGTACCGCAGACGACAATGTCACCGCGAAAGTTTCGAAACAAACAGTTAATTTTCCTTAAATTGCTCGAATAAAACGATGTGTTATTGATAGTAAATGCTGCGATATTATATAGCGTTGAAGTGTTCGGTGTTTGCTCAAAATTGTGTCGGTATACGTGCGTGCTTGTCAAAATTGAGTAGTATACACCTTAAAACGGTAGCGACTCTAGTTTACAACGAGTATTTGTCGCTGATAACTTTCCTTATATTGCTCAAATAAAATTTAAAGATACGGACTATGGTATTGATAGTAAATGCTGTGATATTATATATAACTCTGATTAGAGAATAGAGTGTTGACGCCGCTTATATTTACTTGTCACAATTGAGTGATTGTTCATCTGAAAACGTTAGCAACGAGTTGTGAAGGTGTATTTACAACGCTTTAGTTTTTTTTAATTTGCGCTCTTTTTTCAAAGATTAGTTATTTACAGTCTCTTTGAATAGGTGGTCGCGCGTGAAAAGCGTAGTGTAGTATACATTGTTAAATCGAAATTGATTTCGTCGCTATCAATATTTGATTGTCGCCCGCACATTTGAATAAGGGCTTCATATAGCGTGCTCTCGTTGCAGCTGGCGGAAGTCTTCGCCAGTCTCTCGTTTTAAATATTCATACGTTTTAGAGCGTAGACAATGCTAGAGAATCGTGGGCAGAATGCCAAGGCTGAGAGTAGCCTGCCGTTCCCTTTTCCACTTGCACATTTTGCAATGATTTTAGGTGGATTTTATTCTTCTGATGGATGTGAAGGAGTGGATGAATTATGAATGTTCAGATGAGGGTACATATACTTAGAACATTCATAACTCATCTACTACTTCACATACATCAGAAGACGATAATCGCACTAGAAAATTGCAAATGTAAACGTGCCTTTAGAATATTTTGTTCTATGGATATTCGCCGTATCCGATGATGATGAGCGAAAACGTCAACTTTAATGCAGTTATGCAGGCCTTTTTAGGTTATTGTGATGAACAGAAGGCCGACGAATAATCAGTATTTCCTTTCTTACAAAACCTAGCAGATCACGACCTGGCCTTCAAAACCTCCAGCCATACATCGTAGTCTGAGAGAAGTTGAGAGTAGACTGACTCCCGGTTGTTACATCAGGGGACTGGTGCGAGTGAATAATGTTTCAATATGACCGCCTCTGACTGTGTTTATGTGTTTTAAATAGTAGCTTAGATTTAATGTAGAATAGCCAGGTATATCTTTATATAAATAGAGGATATTACACGGCGGCGCGAAGAGACGACCTTTATCTTCGAGTGGTGAAAACAATATTGTACGAACGAGCGCAGCGAGTGAGTAAAATACTGTTTTTGACACGAGGAGATAAAAGTCGTATCTTCAAGCCAACGTGTAATGTTCTGTTTATTATATAGTCCCGAGCAAAAAATTGTGAAATTTCACAAAAAAATTGTGAAAAGCCACGTGATCGATATCTTCACTAGTGAAGATATGGAGAATATCGCACTGTGTATTTTTCAGTATCTCACTCTCTACTATATAATAAAAATTCATATGCATGTTCATAATGTTATAATCATAAACCGGAACATTTGAATAACAGGAAATACGAACGAGAACAGAAATGAGGAACTGTTTAGTATTTTAGTAAATAAGATGGAATGTTCGAACCGGAGGGAAGTTATTTAGCTTGATTTGCGGTCAACCAAACGAATGTGCGTCACGTGTTGACCTTCCTCTGGCGTGAACAGGTTCCCATATCACTGAGAAAAAAATAGTGAAATTCATACTGTGGAATTTGCTTCACTAAATCCATAGTATATCCATAGTATATCCATATTATTTCCATACCATGTACAGGGTGTCCCCCAAAAAAGTGACACTATAGAAATTATCTCATAGTTGTTCTTAAGCCGCTCTTAAACGCGCGTGATTACACGCCTGGGAATTTAATGAACTTGTATTTACATTTAAGCATTTTAAAACGTTTTCGCTTTGTCCAAATATTTTAACGTCCGAGTCAAGCAAAACGATTACACTAATAAAAGGTTTGCTTTTTTATTTTAAACTTCAGAAGCAGAAGTTTATGCACCTGTGGGATCAACTTAGTGCTAGGGCATTCACATTATAACAATAGGATAATTTCTATAGTGTCAATTTTTTTTGGGACACCCTGTATAACCATAGTATGGAAATTGCAACTAGTATGAAGATTGGATTTCCATACGTACTATTTCCGAAGATCCATGCTATTTTCATACTAATGATTTATGATTTTGAAAAAATATTCCCAGTGCTTTAGTTGGAACAAGACAATATAAATAAGAGGGAGAATGAAAGGAGATTGATTGATTGATTGAGTGAACGAGAGAGAAAGGATGAACAACCGACAGCAGTGTTCTGTCGTATGCATTGACAACGATTGTTATAATAACATGCCTATCAGATACCCTGTCATTTTCTCGACATTTTGAAACACCCTCGAGTTTTATAATGTACACAGAAGCTAGGATAGTTCAGCTGTCTTTGATATAGTAAACAATGCGCAGTAGCCGCGTGCAGTACGTATAATTAAATCCGGTGAAACTCGCTGGAGGAAAATTATATGATGTGCTTGTATTTGGATCATTGAAAGAGGAATCATTGCATATCTTCTTAGCCTTGGTGTTTTGCGCTGCGCACCGCTGCATGACAACTGGAGATTGCATGTTCAGATGATAGTGAATGAAAAATATCCACAGATCGAGTATCGTCATGCAAGAGTATATAATAATATACAGCAGCTTAGGCCCGTTTCATACGCCGTACTGCACAATGTGCCGAATACATTAAAGACAGTAGATAATGAGATGAAATGCCTCGTTACCTATTGTTTTTAATGTCATTTGGCACATGTGAAGTACGGCGTATGAAACGAGCCTTAATCCGATAGATTTCAAATATCAAGAAGACACTTGTCGAAGTCACTTGAAGTGGTTTCGATGCTTTCTTGATCGAAAATCGAGATTTGAAAAGAGTGGCTGGCAACCGCAGATGTGTCGCTTTTGATATGTGAGAATGAAAGGCATGGCCACACTATAGACCCATTGCACATGACGTCACAGCGCCGGTGACGATGCATCTGGAGGACAAATTAGCAATCTATGCATAATATAACTTTTGTAAACAAAGCAAATTTTGTAAAAGTTTATAATAATTTTGTATTAAAATGGTTAATTTTTGCGCTGTATGTGGTTGTTGTACCCGAACAGATATTGTTAGGTAGCATCTGGAGGACACTCTAAGGATTTGTGACGCCAGTGCAATGGGTCTATAGATGAATCGAAATTTGTGGGAGGATATCCTGAGTGGATGCATGCGGTGGCATAATATCTGAATCACTGAAGCCTGTCTTCCATAACACATGCGATATGTTACATTATCACAATGAACTCTTCAGGGGTCGGGTGTATATTCTCTTTATACTACTTTTCACTACTATTTTGCTGTTAAATACTAACTTTAAAGTACGTGATTTTGATTGGCTAAGCCTGGTTTCCATATGGTCGTAACGGTAGTAATGATGGGGTCACGATCTTTCTCATCAGCCGAAATACAGCATTTTACAACTGAAAATACGCGGAGTGATTATAACTAGAGAATATACTTATGATTTATATGTGGTTTACAGGTATAAACTATTATAAACTGGCCGTTGAGAAAGATCGTGACTCGATTTGTACGACCATTACCACCATATGCAAACCAGGCTTTTACTTTCGCAAGAGTGTCCCACTTCCGCTTCTGTAGCCTGTTGTGATTTACTGTAATTTGTTTTGTTTTTCTGTGGCGACTAGCGGTTACCAATTTATTGGCAAATACCGTGATAAAATTTAAATTTCGCACCTTCTATGCAATGAATCTAACGAAACATCTCTTCTCATTCTTTTAGAAAATACATATAGTTGACACAAATGGGTAAACAGAACAGTAAACTTCGTCCCGAGGTTTTATCAGATCTTAAAGAAGAGACGGACTTCAATGAGCACGAGCTCCAAGAATGGTACAAAGGTTTCCTCAAAGACTGCCCGAGCGGCCATCTCACTGTCGACGAGTTTAAGAAAATCTACGGCAATTTTTTCCCCTATGGTGACGCGACAAAGTTTGCGGAGCACGTTTTTCGCACTTTCGACGTGAACCAGGACAACTCGATAGATTTCCGGGAATTCATTTGTGCGCTGTCCGTGACGTCACGAGGCAAATTGGAGCAGAAGTTGAAGTGGGCGTTTAGTATGTACGACCTTGATGGCAATGGATTTATATCAAGGTATGAATAGTCTCTTCTTTCCTGCCTGCTTTTGTGTACACAAGTTATAACAAACTTGCAGCAAACTTGTAGCAATGCTGTAATTGCTGTTCCAACAGATTGTCAACAGGATGTGTTCGCACTGCTTGTTCCCAGCTTTTTGACAAGTTGTCAACGGCTTGTTCACAACTTGCTACAAGATCGTTGAGCTCAACAGACTTGTTACAAGTTGTTCCAACACCTTTTTATCGTCCTGCAATTCAACAATTTGTCAACAAGTTGTGAGTGACAACCTTGTAGCAACTTGATGAAATAACAGCATTGTTACAACTTGTCTACAAGCTTGCTACAAGCCTGTTGCGAACACATCTTGTTGACAATTTGTGAGTGACAACCTTGTAGAAACTTGATGAAATAACAACATTGTTACAACTTGCTGACGAGCTTGCTACAAGCATGTTGCGAACACATATTGTTGACAAGTTGTGAGTGACAACCTTGTAGCAACTTGATGAAATAACAGCATTGTTACAACTTGTTGACAAGCTTGCTACAAGCATGTTGCGAACACATCTTGTTGACAAGTTGTGAGTGACAACCTTGAAGCAACTTGATGAAATAACAGCATTGTTACAACTTGTTGACGAGCTTGCTACAAGCATGTTGCGAACACATCTTGTTGACAAGTTGTGAGCGACAACCTTGTAGCAACTTGATGAAATAACAACATTTTTACAACTTGCTGACAAGCTTGTTACAAGCCTGTTGCGAACACATCTTGTTGACAAATTGTGAGCGACAACCTTGTAGCAACTTGATGAAATACAACATTGTTACAACTTGCTGACAAGCTTGCTACAAGGCTGTTGCGAACACATCTTGTCGACAAATTGTGAGCGACAACCTTGCAGCAACTTGATGAAATACAATATTGTTACAACTTGCTGACAAGCTTGTTACAAGCCTGTTGCGAACACATCTTGTTGACAAATTGTGAGCGACAACCTTGTAGCAACTTGATGAAATACAACATTGTTACAACTTGCTGACAAGCTTGCTACAAGGCTGTTGCGAACACATCTTGTCGACAAATTGTGAGCGACAACCTTGCAGCAACTTGATGAAATACAATATTGTTACAACTTGTTGACAAGCTTGCTACAAGCCTGTTGCGAACACATCTTGTTGACAAGTTGTGTGATTTTTACTTGTGTATATTCCCATTGAATGTGTAAAAGTATTTTGTACATCTTACTTTTGCTTTCTCGCATTAGGCATGAAATGTTGGAGATTGTGAAAGCCATCTACAAGATGGTCGGTACGGTGATGAAGATGCCTGAAGACGAAAGCACCCCAGAGAAGAGGGTGGACAAAATCTTCCGACAGATGGATAAAAATTTCGACGGAAAATTATCCCTTTCTGAATTCATTGAAGGTGCAAAGAGCGATCCTTCTATAGTGCGCCTGCTACAATGCGATCCAGCCGCTGGCGCCTCGGCGTGATGGCTCGCTTGGTTCCAGGACTCGCATGAGACAGACAAGAACACGATCTGCTATGGGCGGGTGGATATTCTCAGAATTTAGACTGTATATTTCTATGATTTTCACGCACAATTCTGAGAATATATTTTGCTTTTGAGAGTGAATATCACAGTTACTTTGAACACTTCAAGAAAGTTTTTTTGCTGTGTATAATTTTAAAATGTTTTTCGGAAATTATTCTACCAAGTCATCGTTCGTAAAATTTTAGGGGAAAATTGTTAAATTTTAACTTCAGCTATAAAGGTGAATAAATCCAGCCTGCAATATAAACGTGTTGCTTTGTTATGTATGTATGTATGTATTCTACATTCCTATATACCCATGTTTAACACTCTGTTTAACACTGCGCATAGCTCTATCAGTTCATAGCATTGGTAAATAATTGCGAACAAGCTAGCAAATGATCTTCTTACGGCTTGTATAATGGTGATCGCTAGATAGTATACTTCAAAATAAGGTTTCCGTTTTTATAACATAGAAAAAACTATCCTAACGCAAAACTAAACCCTAACCCTAATACTAACCCTCACCCTAACCCCAACCTAACCCTAACCTAAACTATATTAACTATGCCTAACCCTAACTTATTTTAATTATTTTAATTATTTAATTATCATAGCAAAATACAAATCAAATTGAAAATCAAATGTTTTGAAATTTTCAAAGTTGTTTTCTTAATCGGTTTTTTATTTTATATTTTTTATGTTTTAGTGCCTTTAATTGTTTTTTCAGTTTTTCATAAATTTATGAATTTGTTTTCTGTTCGATTTTTTTTTCGTTTTTTTTTCTTAATTTATTTTTTGTTTTTGGTTTAAATTTTACTCAAATACTTTTTCTATATTTTTATGTCATGTATTTTTTTAAATTTTAATTTTATATTGCTTTTATTAATTTTTAACTATTTTTTTCACATCTTATTGTAAATAAAACAGGTATATCACTATGGTAACGCTGGGCCACCATACTGTATCTTCAAATCTGTATATTTTATCTATATATTTCCATTTCTTGTCCGACTGTGAGCTCGAAGTGAGTTAATCCCAACCGGAAGTACGACTAAAAACCGTCAAAACAATGCGAGGTTTGTGTCGTATGACCTTGCAAATGCCAGAAATGGTTCTACTTGTCAAATTGCCCCTACACGCGTGAGTTTGACGTCATGCCGGCCACAGGAGCTTCTTATTGGCCAATTATTGCGCAATGTACGCAAGTGCGAGTAAAACCCGCATTTTGAAAAATTCAAAATAAATATTTCTACTCGCCGTATTCAAACGAAATTTTGTACACGAAAGCGCTTGAATACAAAGAGTATTTTACATATATAGCCGCTCAGACAATGACGAAAATTTCAAGAGATATTCAAGATTATCTGGATATGAATTTTCAGAATCTTTGGCCAAGCGGTGAGTAAATATATGATTGTTTCGGTTTGTGTAATGTTTTGACGGCACTTGACCCCCCGTTCGAAAGGTTATTTTGTGAGGATTTCAATGGTGGCTTTTATTTAAAAAGGGGGGGGGGTAAATACTCGCCGAGATATTTACAATAGAAAAATTAAGTCGTAATGTAATGCGAAACCGTATGGCCGTCAAAGAGTAGATTTTTATACATGGGAAAATAATAAATTAAAAAAATAAAAGAACACGATAATATTGTATCAAATTACGCAATTGTCTGAACAAAAATATAGACTAGCCATATCTTTCGCCGAAAATAACTTCGGCCCCTTCAAACGTGTCGTCTTTGTAATAGTCCTGTTCGAATTCCCATCAAAAACACTATTCAGAGTGTTATTTGCAAGCCTGTATCTTCAAATCTGTATCTTTTATCAATATATTTCCATTTCTTGTCCGACTGTGAGCTCGAAGTGAGTTAATCCCAACTGGAAATACGACTAAAAACCGTCAAAACAATGCGACGCTTGTAGGGTTAGGGTAAAACGCTGATACGGACGGACGGAAGGACGGACGGATGACCTATTTTCTCTAGAATATGTTTTAAACATCATATCCGCGTTTTACCCGATCGGGTAAAACGCGGATATGGTGTAAAACATACTTTTCGGCTCTTTCAAAGGCATATCCGCGTTTTACCCGATCGGGTAAAACGCGGATATGGTGTAAAATATGCTTTTCGGCTCTTTAAAAGGCATATCCGCGTTTTACCCGATCGGGTAGAACGCGGATATGGTGTAAAATATGCTTTTCGGCTCTTTAAAAGGCATATCCGCGTTTTACCCGATCGGGTAAAACGCGGATATGGTGTAAAATATGCTTTTCGGCTCTTTAAAAAGCATATCCGCGTTTTACCCGATCGGGTAAAACGCGGATATGGTGTAAAATATACTTTTTGGTTCATTAAAAGGCATATCCTCCGCATATTAGGTTGTGTACAATTAAATCGTGTCCGATGGGCCTAAAATCGAAATAGACATATTCCATCAGAAGTGCATGTCGCTGATATCGGTCAAGGCAAATTAATATTCCTTTAAATTCGAGGATGCTGGCATGATTTAATTTATAAGTCGTGCTTCTCTCAGTAGCAATTTTCTTGCTTCAAGACTCGAGTCCAGAAGTTTTTTAACCCTCCTCCGCAGGCCACTATGATGGTATTCAAACGGCAAAAATCATGTATATGATTGTAATAATCAATGCTGACATGCGTTAGTAGTAAAAGACCCCACTATGGAGTTCAAAGGGATGCCGCCGATGCCGCCAATGACGTCACGCTGCTCCGAAAGCAATTAGTATGCAAAATATGTGACGTAACTTTATTATTATTATTATAGAAAGATTACACATTGAATAGCTACAGTAGGTAACTAAATTAGAACGCGCATTACATATATACAGAAAATATACATTAATTACTGAACTATCTACATTAGGTATTATAAAAGTTTCAAATAAGATATTTATATTAAAAAAAAGAGAGTTATTAACAAAGGTTCAAATGGCGAAACAAATGGACTGATCCAAAAACTATCACTACGTGTTAAAAATGTTTCGATAAAAATATATAAAGTTATATTATATATTATGTTATAAAATAGAGTTATTATAGAGTTCAATTGACGAAACGATTGGACTGTTCCGAAAACGTTCTGTTCTGTAGTGGTAATTGTAAAACAATTGACCATTCTGACGTGTAACCCTTTGCCGTACCTTGCAAAGTTTATTAGGAAGAAGATGGTGCAGTTTGTGTTGCGGGTCAGACATTTTACTGATAAGATCAATGCACATAGTATTGCGACGTTGTTCAAGCGTATGCATTCCAGCTTTCAACAATAACTTTTCGTAATCTTTTTCGGAATAAATTATTCTCAAAGCCCTTCTTTGTACTTTCTCAATACTGCTGCTCTGTGCTTTAGTAAGGCCCCCATGCCAGACTTGCGCTCCATATTCAAGTGTCGGCCTGATGGCAGAGATGTAAAACCGTTTCATATCAATCTTGTCAGCACAGTATTTCTTTAAAGTTTTTAATAAAAAGAGTCGCTTAACTGCTTTCCCTATTATATAATCAGTATTAGTTTGCCAATTTAAATTATCGTCAATCCATAAGCCCAATAGTTTGAAAGTTGAAACCCTTTCCAACGTTGTATCATTGAATGTTAGTGGTGGAATAACTGTTTTGTCCTGACGGAAATCTAACTGCATTTCCTTACATTTTTTCAGGTTCAACTCCATTTTTTGAGACGTGGCAAAATCCATAACTTTCATAATATTATTGTTCATACTCCCAACTTGCGTACCCGAGACATGATCACGGACGTTAATAACCTCTGACAATGTTGTATCATCCATGAAAAGAGTGAGGTCATCATCACCATCATCATTATCATCATTGCTTGAATTAGTCAGACTGCTCTCGGTATCTTTTATCACTGCCTTCAGTCCGTTAATGTGAACGACGAACGCGATTGGACCAATACGACTACCTTGGGGAACTCCCCCATTAATCATGCATCTTGTAGAAAGTTCGTTACCAAATCTTGTGACTTGCATCCTCTTACTCAGATATGACCCCACCCAGCCAATAAGCCCCGGTCTGACTCCAATTTTACAACAGTTGTCTAATAGCAGGTTGTGATCAATAAGATCAAATGCCTTGCGAAAGTCCAAAAACACAATTCGTATTACTCGTTGTGATAAGTCCAACGCTTTATTCCATTTGTGTAGAAGGTGAACGAGTGCAAAAACTGCTGACGAGCGTGGGACACCACCATACTGTTCCTTACAAATTTTAGACTCAATATCGTCATACATCCAATCAACCACGTAAGACTCCTGTATTTTTGAAATTGTGCTAGTGAGAGCTATTGGTCTTATTTCATCCAGATTCGTGCACGGTTCCACTTTTGGTATAGGTGCTAGGCGGAACTCTTTCCACAGTTTTGGAAACACCTTCTGCCCAAATGATGCATTAAAAATGTTTGCTAATGGGATGGCAAAAGAATGCGCAAACATTTTGATTATCTTGAGGTAGGGGTCGTTTGGACCGGGAGCTTTGTGAGACTGAATGGACAAAAGCTTTTTCGCAACGCTTTCGGGTGTAACAGTCGGCAAGACATCTGAATGACCGTACGATGACCATCTGGATTGAATTTCTGGGAAATCATTTGTTAGATCTGCGAAAAACGTATTAATCATATTTGCAGCATCACTATCTTCGAGTTTGGAGTCTGATCCCTGCTCACTGAGATTGATAGAAGGTTTCTTCTTTCCAGTCAGTTTCCAGACCTTCTTCCACCACATTCGGGCATCCCCGTTGGTATTCAGCCTTCCAATGTTCATTACATAATAGTGCCTCTTTGCCTTTGTAATTTCCGATGCTACTCTATTACGAAGTTTCCTAAACTTCTGCATTCTTCCTTGTTTGTATGCGTTATCTCGCTTCCTTAGTAACTTTTTTATTTTTGTTGTTATAAAAAATTTATCATCGGAGTGCATTCGAACTGTTCTCTTCGGGAAATAGTAATTAATCATGTCGTTAGTAACTCTGGTGAAATCCTCAACCTTTTCATCTACGTTCTCAAGGTTTAGTACGGTTGACCAATCATATTGGGCAAGACAGGAACCAAATTGTTGTAGGTTATATCTTGGCGTTGGACGAAATTTAATTTTCTTCACAATGTTTACCGAGCGCTGCTGTGATTTCGCCATCCAAATAACCATATTATGGTCTGAGGTAGACAGTGGTGCAGTTACTTCAGGGGGGTTATAATGTGAGCTCATGTTAGTAAAAATAAGATCTAGGATATTGGAGTTTCGTGTCGGATCCTTAACCACTTGCTTTAAATTAAAATCACAATAGTCAGAAAGACACTTCATATCAAAACCGTTGCTGCAGGGATTAAAATCTCCAGCCATCCCCTAAATCCCCTAACCCTAACCTTGGGCCAACTGTGACAGGTAGCGCGACCAATTAACGCGGGTAGGCCTGGGCCAACTGTGACAGGTAGCGCGACCAATTAGCGCGGGCAAGCCTGGGCCAACTGTGACAGGTAGCGCGACCAATTAACGCGGGCAGGCCTGGTGTATTTTGATTGTTTTTTTCGGGTGATTAAAACCTGCTTTTGCGATAGCTCAGTTGGTAGAGCGGAGGACTGTAGTTCCCTAGGTCGTTGGTTCAATCCCAGCTCGCAAGATTTAAAAACAGGCGTTCTTTTTCGCGGAAAAATGTATATGTATTTCGGAGCCTAATTCAAAATAACCGGAAACTTTGAAAGCTTACAGCGAAGCATATAATCTAAATAGCTTGGAGTTTGGCTCGAAGCCGGTCCGTTCGAAGCATAGTCTTTAGTTGACAACGCTTGGTTCATGTCTACACGGTAAAGTTACTACCTCTTCGACTACGAAAAATGGTACATTTTGATAGTTGTAATTTATTTTGTCATAAAAATTAATCAAATGTGCGGTTGCTATATACGTTGTTATGTGTTGTCGGTCATTAGCGGCGCTTGGGTGCATGCATATATTAATGTACGACATAGTTGTACTCAGGCGGGCGGGTTGCGCGGATAGGAAAGATCGGGCTTTGCGGGCAAAAATTTACACAAGATTTCAGTTTTAAAATTGCATTTATTTCTTCAAAACGTTTTACAAAATTTAGTACGGTCTACTTCTCAGAGCATAACGTTTACGTGTTTTTGTTATTTTGAGTTCTCATATTCTTGTCTATCTTCAGGTGATAATCGTGCAACATCTTCATGTTTCATTGGAATATATTTCGGTCTTTCGTTTAGTAAAAAACGTTCATAACGCTCTCTTTCCTTCGGTTTCATCATAGCCAGATCACTTTCTTTCCAATCAGCAGAATCTACCCAATTGTGAAAAAAATTGCGCTTGAGTTTTGGTTGTTCCTCTTCTGTTTGTGGCGGTGTAGGGAAATTAGGTTTAGGAGTAGCAGGTATTGGTGATGATATTTCCGTTGGTACAGAAATAGGAGGTACTTGTGGTGGTATTTCCGCTGGTACAGGAGTAGTAGACACTAGTGGAGTTCTCTGAACAGGGGCTTGAGCCGGGACATCCATCTTATTTTTGAATGTCAGAAACCGGTTTAGCTGATCAGAATATAACTTGCTTTTTTCCACTGCGCTCAGCTGTGGCGCTTCTATGATTTCTTTCATTCTCTGTTCGGCATCATACATTGCATTGAATTGTGGTGGTTGTTGATACGACTGTTTTTGTATAAACTTTGCAATCTCGCCGGGAAGTACGTTGGTCTTGAGTCGTTGTTGGTCGTCTGTTGTTGGCTTTAAATCCAACATCAAGTAGCCGTGAGGTCGGCTCGTGGCATCTTCATAACTCTTCATAAATTCTTGTACTTTACCAGGATCTACCTGCCTTGCAAGCATAGAAATTTGCTGTTTATCTCTTGGTGACTTGAACAACACGATATAATGAGCATTAAGGCTGATATTTCTCATTTCTTTGCCTTGATGAAATATATTTTGGACAATATAGATGATGGACAAATTACGGTGATGGCTTCCTTTGGTAAAAAGATCAGCAATACGTTTGTCTTTACTAGATTGTGCCATGAGATCGTCCAGTACGATCAAATTCCGTTGCGATACATCCAAGTAGCTGTGTTGTCAATCTCTTTTGGAATGCCTTTATTAAACTCGATTGCAGGAATCGCCCTCAGCATATCAAAATAGGAGGGTTGCCATTGACCATAACACCAGATAATACGTTGAGGAGCAGGACTTATGGTCGTCTGAGGATTCTCCAAGAGAGATTTTTACCCATACAGTTTTGCCACTTTGTGTACACCCCGCTATGATGCACGTAAAAGGATGCTGCATAACACTGGACCTATTGCTAATTACACTTAACCTTCTTTCATCTGTACTGGTGCTATGCATCTGTTTTTTGTGACGTGAACGGTTACCAGGTGTTGAAAACGGTCTTCCACAGACTTCGCAGGGATAAGACATGTTTACAGGTTCACAATCAAATGTAAAATGAATTCGAAGTTTGTGTACCGTTCCATAAATAGTATTATGTGGTCAAACCAACATAAATAATCCTATGATATTCCAAGATACTGTATGATATCCTAAGATATTGATATCCTAAGATATTGATATCCTAAGATATTGATATCCTAAGATATTGATATCCTAAGATATTGATATCCTAAGATACTGATATCCTAAGATAATGATATCCTAAGATATTAATATCCTAAGATACTGATATCCTAAGATACTGTATGATATCCTAAGATACTGTATGATATCCTAAAATGTTGTATGATATTCTAAGATACTGATGTCCTAAGATACTGTATGATATCCTAAGATACTGTATGATATCCTAAGATACTGTATGATATCCTAAGATATTGTATGATATCCTAAGATATTGTATGATATCCTAAGATATTGATATCCTAAGGTATTGATATCCTAAGATATTGATATCCTAAGATATTGATATCCTAAGATACTGATATCCTAAGATATTGATATCCTAAGATATTGATATCCTAAGATACTGATATCCTAAGATATTGATATCCTAAGATATTGATATTCTAAGATATTGATATCCTAAGATATTGATATTCTAAGATATTGATATCCTAAGATACTGATATCCTAAGATACTGATATCCTAAGATATTGATATCCTAAGATATTGATATCCTAAAATACTCATGATATCCTAAGATACTCATGATATCCTAAGATACTGATATCCTAAAATACTGATATCCTGAGATATTGATATCCTAGGATACTATTTTCGTTAATATATAAATATGTTATTTCCAACTAAATCTTCATTCCGTCGCTGACCGCCGAACAGAGATGACTAGCAGTTATATCAAACACAGACCGTTTGTGGAGCTCTTGTGTATTTCTCATCCAATTCAACAGCAAGCTTTGTTGAATTCTGCATCTCATGAACAGATTCGCTTTCTATGTAATTGCTTGGAAAACTTTACATATCCTAAAGGAACATTGAACAAACTTGGACCATTTAGAGATGACCTCGCTGACTTGGCGGACAGCAGTAGGAGTTTTAGAAAGAAAAGGAAAATTCTTGTTCAGCGCGGGAGTGGTTTTCTAGGGTTGGTACTTGCGCCACTTTTAGAGGGGCTTGCAGAATTAGTATAAAACAATCATCATTAATTCACATCGTCATTCCAACCATGAACAGCAAGGAAAGATCATCTCCGAGACATTGGCGTGTTGAAGATATACTTGGACACTTAAACGATAATGTTGATAAAAACAATGCGGAAGAACTTCTTCACTGCATTCTGACATCCACGGATATTCTCACATGGAATCTTCAAGGGGAAATTGTATACAAAGGGCAGAATATACGTGGAACAAATATTGTAGATCTTTTGCAATATACTGTTTTACCATATAATACTGAAATTCCGGAACCGGCTGGACTGAATATATTTCTCAAAGGTCTTGCAAAATTGGAAATTGATAAAAGCCTAATCGTAAATGGGCGTGTGCTTACAATGCTAGCCCAGTGGTCCCACCAGGATAGACAGTCTGACAAATCCGAGGATGAGTCTGAAGACATGGACACAGTTTGTAACGGTTGTAACAAAGATCTAGACATCTCCCATTTGGCCACATGTCCTATATGCACATGGACAGACTTTTATCCAAATTGTAAGAGGTGTCACTGTACGATCTGTGATTTTCGACTGTCCGAAGGAAATTTCACGCATGTAATCGCCTGTTGCCAGCATTGTCATTGTGACGAAATTATGGATGTTAGTACGGATAAAAGACTTTTTTACCATAAAATAGGCGAACAAAGTGATATGTGACCAGTTTACTTTGTGAATTTGAACTGAACACATCAACATGGTGAGAGGTACGCTTGTTGTAGACACAAAACTATTGAAAGACCATTTCTTGAGACAGCAGCGTGGTGGGAATATCGCTGGGTTTTATGGTGCACGTATGCAAAGGGATATGGGATCGGAAGCATTTTCAAGAGCCTTGCAAGATATGCTATCCCTCTATTCAAACAAGGAGCTAAAGTTGTTGGCAAAAGAGCATTACAAGCAGCCACAGAAGTTGGTCAAGATATACTTCAAGGAAAAAATGTAAGAGAATCTGTAAAGGCTCACAGAGGGAAAGTTGTTAAAGACTTTGTTGAGCAAGGAGCAAGGACTTTTCTGCGTCAAACAGGACATGGAAGCAAAA